CCCCCCGTCTGTTTTTGTCCCTCCCAATGGGTGAGGTCTGGGACCTGTGCCGATTGGCCAGATTATAGCAACCACATAACTGCGAGCTGTGCGTGACATTTGAGTTTTTCCTCCAGGGCCCCTCTAGAATAGCTGGTGGCCAGGCCAGCGGGCCCCTTTCCTCCGGCTGCCCTCCCTGCACCTGTCCTACAGCCGCGGGCTACCTACTGAGTAGTGCAGCGTGGGACCTGCAGCTGCTTCTCTCCCAAGTAACTTTCTTTGCTGAGAGATGGGGAGGGGTGTGGATAACCCTGGGCCACATCTGGGCACCCCACCCCCACCCCCTTCCCCTCTGGTCCCTCAGCTTCCTATTGCTCTGCACAGAGGCTGACTGGTTCATGCTCAGTCCTGAGGGGGCAGTGAGGGAATGCAGGGAAGCACCAGTTGGGCTGAGTGGGGGGCTTGCTGTTTGTGGCCCCAAGAGCAGGTGTCTGTGCCTGGCTGAAGTCCTGAGGCAGCCACCAAACCAAATGGGGGTCAGAGTGAACTGCACACGCTGCTGCTGCAAAGGGGGAGAACTCATCAAACCCCAATAATCCTGTCCTGCCTGGCACAATGACCAGTGTCTCTGGCTTAAGCTTGGGGGTAAGCCAGGAATGGAAAGTTTTAAAATGAGCCTAAAAGAAAAAAGCACATGAACTTCTTGCTCAGGATGGCAGGTGGGGCAGGGCCGCGGCAGGGGTCAGGGGGCTGGCATTCTCCAAGTGCTGGACACAGCTGGGGTGGACAAGGGGAGGGCCTCCCTCCAGATGGGTAGGAGATGGCTCCAGGACGTCCACAAGTTGTGACCAGGGCACCATGTGGGTAGGCGTGAGGGGGCTCAGGAGTGGACGCGGTGAGGGGTGGCCCAGTAAGGACTATGGCCAGAGGGATGGGGGGTGTGGGGGTGGTCCAGTGGAGGCTGAAGCCCAGGTGGGGGGCATTACCGGACAGGGTCTGCCTGGAGCAGGTCTGCCTCAAGCAGGCCTGTAGTGTGTGGGTCCTTGACTTCATATAGGAAAGATTTCGCAACACAAGTCCAGATGGGTTTGAGAATATATTTATTAATGCTGGGGACAAAGAAATAAATAAAGCAATTAGGGTAGAAGAAACAACAAAGAGCCTAGGCGGGGCTCCTGTTAGCTCACCGGGAAGTGAAGGTCACAGTGATAGAAGTGAGCCTAGGCGGAGCTGCTTTAGCTCACTGGGAATCAGAGAAAATGGGGTCTTGGAGACAGGATCAGGGGATAAGCCCAGGTCGAGCTGATGCTGCCCACCGCTCCCCGGGCTGCAAGTCTCATGGGGACCCTTAGAAATTAAGAAGAAATAAAGAGTTCATGCCCAGGAAGGGGCATGGACATGCTCTAGAGAGAGCCTGCATTGAGTCTTTGTCCTGAGGGCTTTTTATCCATTTTTTTTTCCTCTACAGGCAAGAATCTTAGGGGAGGGTTTCAGTAGAATATTCATCAGCTTTCCAGGTGCATTTTTAAATATGCTGATGCATTAAACTGAGTGTATAAGGGAGTCTTGAATAATTCTTTGGTCTGTTTTACTTTTATCTTAAGTCTGGCTGGCTTTAATGGGGTTTTTGTTATCTGTTCCCCAACTTCATCTGTCCTTGAGTTGAGCTGGCACAAATGGCATTAATTGGGTCTTTGTTCTCTATTTTCCCAGGCCAGGGTCATTTAAGCTATGTATTCTCTTGTTAGGGATGTTTTCAAGCATCCTTGGTTAGAGAAGATAAGGTCTTGCAGCCACAAGCTGCCCCAACTGTTTGGCCGTGTTTGATTTTCTTGTTTCAGTTTCCCCATTCCACTTGCCCACGGATTTTCCTAGCTTCTTACTATCTTCTTGCAGGGGGATGAGGTGGGGGTGATCCAGCAGACTCCCAGAGGGGTCTAGGGAAGCGGAGTTCCAGTGGGGGCTGCAGCCCGTGGCAAGGCCGTGCCCCCCATTGGGAGCTCAGGCCTGCTCCAGGAGGGTACCATGTGACCCGGGGAGGTGACAGGGGCAGGCCAGGTGGGAACTGCGACCGGAGACAAGCATGGCATGCTTGTGTGGCCCAGCTACTTAACTGCTCTAGGTCCTGGATCCCTAACT